CCACCACCACCACCACCACCACCACCACCACAATCATCAACATCACAACTGCAACCATCACCATCACTACAACCACAACCACAACCACAACCACCACCACCACAACCATCAACATCACCACCACCACCATCACCGCAACCACAACAACCATGACCACCACAACGTTTTGACGTGTTTTTCAGACTGAGGCCAACAATGCCAACACCGACAATCAAGATCTATCACCCAATTCTCCGCCAGACGACATCGAAACACCGTAAGAATTAGTTTTAGTGGCAGTTTTACGGCACCTACAACACAAATAGGTCACTTGTGCAGAAGATAAGAGATGCTACTAGACAGTAAAGTAATATAAAAATAAAAGAGACAGGAACTACAATGACGGTTGATGTTTAATAGGAAGGGAGGCATAAACCACACCAGAGCACCTGCCAACCACACATAGTAAGAATGTCGAAATAATCCAGCGACATATATATCAATCATTCTGTGAAGTGTTTTAACTTCAACAATTCTAACTTTACAAAGTAAGACCAAACTGGGTTGTGAACTAACGTGGAAGCACCTAGCTTGAGCCCGGCGCGGTCATATTCCCTTTTTTAAGAGTGTCTTCTTTTTCTTCTTCTTCATCCACTCCCATGCTGTCATACACATGCACACACATGCACACAAATGCACACACAAACACACATACACAAACACAAACATAAACACATACACAAACACACAAACACGCGCACACACACACACACACACACACACACACACACACAGCACACACACACTCACACACACACGCAGTTTGTGACTCACAGTCAAACGCACTCAAAAGGCAGACCCAAGCAACAAGACAGACTCTATCCCTTGAGCATCAAATTGGTTGTTGGTTTCCTCTTTTTACATAAGGCTACTCTGGATGCCTCGTAAGTGATTGAATGGGTTTTAGTTTTAGTAAGAGTTTTACCGCACTTGCAACAGAATACGGTCATATAAGTGCCAAAGCTTAGAGGTGTTACAAGAGGGTAACAAACGTAAAAAAGAAGGAGGTAAGATGACAAAAGATGTTTGATAGGAAAAAAGAAGCAAACCGCACCAGAGCACCCGCCAACCACCCACAGTTTTAACGCCTGTATCGACACTAGTAAGTAATTGGTAAGTAACCGTTTTCCATTTACCTCTGAAAAATTGATTGTCTTCCTTTTAAAAACGTTTTTCTTAATGCGATTAATTTCTCCTATCCTGGCTGTCAGGGTCAACCCGGGTGAGAGGGATGCAGCATCCCAGCAGAAAGGCTGAGATACTCAATAAAAATTTCTCCCAATCAAATTCTGATATCCTGCATGCGACAGCAAAAGACATAACTGCTAGGCCACACACACACACACACACACACACACACACACACACACACACACACACACACACACACACATACACCCTTTTTGTGAATGTATCATAGCCATAGACTACAGAGGGCATTTTAAAGACTAGACTAAAATATTGAAAAAACAGGTTTTAATGTTGAACGTTCATGTGTTGTGCAGAAACGTCCTTGAAGACTACATGTGTGACTGTGGTGTGCTCAGGACTCTAACACAGTTCTACTCCTGTCCAAAGGTCAAGCTATCTATGGACGTGGTAAGTACGGATTAAGGTTTTTTTCTTAGGTTTTAGTAAGAGTGTTATGGCACTTACAACAAAACAGGGTCATATAAGTGCTGAAGATTAGAGGTGTCAGAAGAGAGTAACAAACACAACAAAGAAAGAGAAGAGATCAAGACGATAGATTGTTGACAGGAAAGTAGAAGCAAACCACACTTGAGCATCCACCAACCAACAGTGTAAGTCCTGCTTCCTATTTCGCTGAAACAGCCAAGTAAGCTGAGAGTTTCGACTAACAAGAAATGTCAAGCAAGTGTCGATGACATTGGGTTCAGATGGCTGCTCACTTGGTAGAGTCCTTGAGCAAGACACGACAGACAACCCTCTTTCAAAAACACCAGGCGCTGCACGCTGGCGACGACCAATGTTGTATTTGTGAAACCATTGTTCTGCATTGTTGTAATATTGAGTTTTTCGCATTCTCTGAATGTATTTTGATGTGTTTAAATATCTGTTCATGTATGTAAGTGAAGCGTGCTGGCAAAATTAGTTATTTCTCGGATTTGAGCCTCTTGGGAATAGATAATCATGTTTATAGGTGAAGTTTTTACACTTTGTAAGTATGAAATAATAAAAGACATGTTAAACTTATAGAATATGGCATCAATAGAAAATCTACAAATATGGCCGTTGTGTAGATTTTTAGCCAATATCTCCATTTGCAGATTGCGAAAAGTAACACATTTTGTCAGCATGCCCCACGTATATTTACCTTTTTAACTCAAAATTGTAAGATCTCTGCCTTCTCAGCATTCATGTGACATATGTTTGCTGAGAGTTTCCCATTAGTAACGTATTGTTGACCGAGAGTGTCCCTTAAGTAACGTATCTTCACTGAGTGTCCCTTAAGTAGCGCATGTTCACTGAGTGCCCCTTAAGTTCACTGAGAGTATCCCTTAAGTATGTTTACTGAGCGTGTCCTTCACTGAGTGTCCCCTGAGTTCACTGAGTGTCCCTTGAGTAGTGGATGTTTACTGAGAGTGTCCCTTTAGTAACGTATCTCTGCTGAGAGTGTCCCTTTAGTAACGTATCTTTACTGAGAGTGTTCCTTAAGTAACGTATCTTTACTGAGAGTGTCCCTTTAGTAACGTATCTCTACTGACAGTGTCCCTTTAGTAACGTATCTCTACTGAGAGTGTCCCTTAAGTAACGTATCTTTACTGAGAGTGTCCCTTAAGTAACGTAACTTTACTGAGAGTGTCCCTTAAGTAACATATCTTTACAGAATGTGTCCCTTAAGTATCGTATCTTTACTGATTAAGTTCACTGAGAGTGTCCCTTAATGACAGTTTCCTTCGTGATGTATGTTTCAGCTCTTCTACATTGTGTTCCAAGGGATATACAGCTACTTCCTGATCTTTAGCTTGGGCGAAGAGGATTCCCATGCTGTGGATTTCATAGTTGAGCTGTGGGGCGCTTGCTATTGTTATGGGGTGGCGAGAGAGGTGTGTGTTGTTCACCAGCGATCCAACGCCCCATCTCCACCCCTACCTAACCACATACACGAACGTACGCGCACACACACACAC